CGTCCTTGATTTCTGTGGCTGCATGCTTGGCTCAGGGGCCTGTTCTCTCTTTCCTTCCTTTGGTGCTAAACTTCCTTAGTCGAACATCATTGCCTGGCTGCGGAAAGCTCTAGAAACAGACAAGAAAGACTGGGTAAAAGAGACGGAGCCAGAAGCCGACCAAGACGGGTACTACCAGACGACGCTCCCGGCCATCGTCTTCCAGGTACCCCCCGCACGGCTCCCAAGTTCATGTCTGGGCTCGGCGGTCGGGTCTGCGGTTTTTACAGACGCGCAGGCACCTCGGTTCGTAGTGAAGACAGCACGCCTGCCCGGTGCCCTGCACCGCTCCCACTGGAGCTTGGGAGGCAAAGGGTCCACCTGCCATGTCGTTTTGCCCAGTGTCACTTTAGTTTTCCTAATTCTTTTGAATTTGAACTGTGACCTAATTCTGTGCTATTTTGTGACGCTCTTGCTTGAGTTAACTTATTTGAAGTTTCCTGCTGCGAATGGCCAAGATGTGTCTTTGTAAATGCCACAAAACGGAGTCTAACCTGACGGATTTAAGGGAGACTCCTTTAGATTTTGGTGGCAATCACGCGTTCTCATGGTTAATTCACTCCTTAACGCCCGGCCTCCTGCCGGTGGCCCCCAGCCCCCTTCTTTTTCTCTGGCCCATGTTCTTTTCTCCCTTTGACAGTAGGAGAGCTGAGTCCTGGTGGAATATTCGTGTGGCACTTGTCTGGCACTCTGGCTGGCAGCACTGAGCGCTGGTGGCTTTTCCCTGGGTGACACCCATTAGTTAGCCACAGACTGGTCCTCACCCTGTCTTTTCCTTTGGAAACTAACATCATGACAGCCTGGCTTCGACAGGGACCTGGGGCAAGGTCCGCCTGCTGGCCCTTCTCCTCAGCTCCAGTGTGGGTCCTGATTCCTCTTAAGAAACCCACGTCACAGATCATGGCGCAGCCCCTGGCACCCAGGCCGCCTCCCCGGGCTCCATCTCCCTGTCAGCACGCCGTCGTAGAGACCTGCCCGTTGGCAGGAAGTTAGGAATCAAGTCACATGTTTTTATCTGGTGAGGATGTTGCTTAAGTAACTTTATCTCTTAGGTGGCTTCATTTTTTTTCTCTGAATTTGAGTTGCCCTAACAACCAGCTAGCAGGGGCTTTGAGTGAGTCTGTCACTTCATAAGTTCTTTAATTTTTAGATGTTCGAACAGAATCTTCAAGTTGCTGCTCAGATAAGTGAAGATTTGAAAACAAAGGTGCTCGTTTTGTGTCTTCAGCAAATGAATTCTTTCTTAAGTAGGTATGTATTTGTCACTGTACGAATTTAGAAAGTTTATTTTTCTAAAAATTAAAAGCAAAAATGTGTCGACCCTAACGTGCCTGACCAAAAAGAGCGAGGAGCTGGGACCAGGCACCGCCGTCTTCTGTTCAAAGCGCAGACTTGGTCTCCGTGTCCTCTGGTGGGTCACAGTGACTCCCCGGGAGCCCGCGGTGCAGCAGAAGCGGCTCCTCAGGCACCCGTCCTCCGTCATCTGATTCCCAGGGCGGGGGCGGCTCCCATTGCAGAGGCACTCTCTGGACCAGGGGCTTGGGGACTGTCTCCAGGACACCTCCCTCTCCTGGAATTATTCACGAGGGGCATTTGCTGACCTGTGCAGGAGTCGAAAGAATAACACCAAAATGTTGTCATCCAGGTCCAAGAGCTGTCCCTTTAAAGCCACCCCTGCCCCATCGG